AAAAATATATTTTACTTAGAAAGTATATATTTAAAGTTAATATTTAAAGTTTTATTTAAAAATTACAAAAATTAAAAGTAAATGCAAACAAATTTGCTTGTATTATAATTTAAGGAATAGGAAGGCTATACTATTTTACTAACTTAAGATTTTACTATGCAAGTTCTTTGCTTGTATATTCTATCAAAATTTTTTTATATATTATTATGTTATACTTCTAATTTCAAATTGATTTTATATAACTTAATTTACAGAAGTATATTTTAGAAACAAATAAAGTTTATATAACATATTAAAAAGATTAAAAAATTATTAAAATTTGTTAATAGTAGAATTTAAACTTAGATTTATTGTATAGCAGTTTGGTAATTTAACTACTATACTAAAATTATTAAATCTATTTTGCTATATTTTATCTATATATTTTATTTATGAAAATTACTATGAATTACTACTGGTAATTATCACTGGTATCATATATCAAGTATATACAATACGCATTATACAGAAATAGTTTATTAATAATCCAATTTTTTTTTTATTCTTTTTACAGTTATCTAAGTGTCTAACTATTCCACGTTTGAATTCACAGCCTTTTATCTTTAATTACTATATTCTTTACTTTTAACTTACTTTCATGTATTTTCTTAGCTCTAACTATAACTTTTACTAGCAACGTATTATATATCATAAAGATATTGTATTAGGAATTGATGTAATTAACTTTTCTTATATTCCATTCCAGCATTTCATATTCGAATTCAAGCTATACCATATTTCACTTCACTTTAGTTATACCTTTCTTTGTGTAATTTTTATTTCAACCATAACTGTTGATTTTCTTGCATACTCAATTCTTTTGCAAAACTATACTAACTATATTTTCTCTCTACTTAATTACAAGGCTAATGGAGTTTTTATTAGATTACGAAGATAACATAGAGAACTACTTACCAGACTTTGGTAATACTGTTTTTTATTTCTCTTTAGTTATACTTTTCTTTGTGCTCTCGCATGTTCAATTCTTTTGCAAAACTATACTAACAGCCTTGTTTTCTCTCTACTTAGTTACAAGCTTAATAGAACATCTATCAGATTATGAAGACAATGTGGAGAACCACTTATCAGGTTTTGGTGATAATAATACAAATGAAAATAATACTGATGACCATGATATAGATGTTAATGAAATGATATTAAAAGTTGGGAATTTATTTAATGACTGGGACTATGTTCAAGCTATTGTTGATTCATTTGCCAAGCAAAATGGTTTTGTAGCCAATAAAAACCATAAAGATCTTGACCCTGTTGATAAGTCTATTGTTCGTCAATATACCTACAATTGCTGGAAAGCAGGAACTTATCAACCAAAAAAGGTCAAAGATATAAATTTGCACTATAATAGTAGTTTAAGTAAAACAAATTGCAAATTAGAAGTTGGTTTTTATCTTGAAAAGTATAAAAAAAA